ATAACATTCTGCTTAATTTATCTCTCATATGCAATAAAACCAGTTAAAAGTAGAAACACTTTATATTCCCTTTTATAGGCCATTCCAAATGGATAGGGAGCACTTAACTTAGACCTGTGCCAAACTCCGTGAGGGCTTGAGGCCAGATGCTTAAAGAGAATCACCTGCCTGTGCTTTGCATTGCTTTTGATCTTTTATTTGATCCTATAAATCCCCACTGGAGTCCAGTGGTAGCAAACATTTGGCACAGACACAACGGGCAGCATTTCCTGCTCACAGGAAGAATGAGTCCGGGCTGAAAAACAAGATCTCGTGTCCTCCCATAGGGAGGAACCTAAAATAACCCCTGGGCAAGGAGACGTACGTATTTGCACTCTGTGTAATAAGAGATCATCTTCAGTCCACGTTAATCCACAGAGATGCTGGAGTTTCTCTTATTCACTTGTTTGTTTAGCACATTCACACACTTGGCAAGGAGCTCTGTGCGTTGCTAGTCCATGCAGTTAGTAATTCCAGTCACTGGCTGGGGTCCTAGGCTAGAAAAAAAACTACTGATCGCAATATTCCTGCGTTAGGATGACGTACACAAGAGACAGGTTGGAGGGATGACTGTACAAGTGATGCTGCCTGGGTCATTGCTGGTAACTAGAGCACTCCCCATAGGTTTCCCTGCTTTTCAAGCGGCAGTTATTGCTGATGGAGGCTGGACCAGGACACTAGTTTTGCTGTGTTCACATCCACAATAAAAACACTCTCTGTTTACTTGCTTTTGCTTTTGCTGGTCTCCTGAAACCCCATTGGAGTCAGCTGGATAAGCCCTCAGGGCAGAGCCTCCACAGGCAGCAGGGAGGAGGGGGGTTTAGCTTGTCTTTTTGTCACTACAGTGAACGCTGCGGCTGTATTTTCCATGTATTTTCCAGCTATGTGTGACCCACAGGAAAGCCTGGAAGTGCTCTGGCACTTTGCTGATCCCAGGGCAAACTTCTCAGGTCTCCTCCAGGACACATGAACCTGTTTCCCAAGTCCATGCTGTGCATCAGCCTTGGCCATCAGCAGCTGTATTAGCAGAAGATGTGTGGGAGGCAGAACATGCTGTAGCCTTTCCTTCACACTGGTACAGGTAATATCAACAGCCTCTCTCCTGATTCACCACCAGGAAACTACAGCCCTTTTGCTTTTGGCAAAAAGACCTATAGAGGACTGGCAAGAAAACAGCAGATGTGTAAGATTTATGGGTAAGGAATTGCAGCAAACACTGGCATGAAGGTGCTATAATTATATCAAGTTAAAATGAGTCACCCCATGATGCCAGAATGGAGCAAGACTTGTGTGCTCTGAGGAAACTCTCTCTTTGACATAGTCTTTCTCTAAGAGTCAGATCTTTCCCCTGGGAAAGGGGAATTCTTGGCTTGGGCTGCCCTACCTCACTTGTTTTTGGCTGCACAAAGACATTTTTCCATGGCTGCACAAACACTCCGTGACTTTCACTCAGAACCTCCCTGAGAACATTTTTTAAATCAATATTTAATTCATTCTAATTGGGCAGCAAGGATCCTCAGTTCTCCCAGCTTGATGGAGCGCCTCTCCTCCCATGCAGGTCCATCTCCCTCAGCTCTTCTTCACTGTGCCATAAGGAGCAATGTGGAACATTTCACAGGTCCTGGGGACACACTAGGAAGTGTAGGTCACATTCTCCTACTGTCACCTGACTGCGATTTCTAATAGTGTAGAATCTGCCCCACTGAAGCCATCCATGGACAGGAAACTTGCGCAGATCCGTGCACGGAAGAGGACTCTGCTCAGGGATGATGGATGAAGCTGTCTTATCTAACATCCTTGGAGGCCACAGGAATTTTGCGTGAGGAACTGCACCACAAATCTTGACTTATTGATGTGCATAATCCCAGGGCACATACCTGCCACATCACATATGGAATAGCCATACAGCACCTCGCTATGGAGTGGCTCCACTTGGAATAGATGATTATGGCCCAACTGCTGTGTGCAGATAAGATGTAGCTCTACAGAAGGGGGCAGTTAGTTTTCTCTCTCCATTGTAATAACAGTTTTAAAAGCATCATTTGACATTAAATACCTAGCACTTAAAGTAACACAGCTCTGAAGTCTGTTTAGTAGTAAAGTCATTAGACTAAAGGCCTTTAACAAATCATAAAGGAAGCTAAAGGACATTCCTTTTAAACTTCTAATTATTGCCTGTGACTCTTGTTTCCTAAGTATTTATGCCTGATTTCCATAATTACTTCACAAGCTGCTAAAAATCCTTTATACTAATAGCTGGAGCGGTAAACTTGCCCAGAACTTCTTTGATAAACAAGAAATTATTTGGAAAGTCAAAGTTTCTTCTTTTCCTTTTGCTGAATGAGCTGTTTAAGAGTGAATTTTACAACTCAAACTTCTGTAGAGGGAGCAGGAAGCCTTCATGACATGGTGAGCTAGGTTTTCTCCTCCTTTAGGTATGTACTAGGCCCTAAAAGAGTAGGACAATGAGGCTAAGAAATGGGATAAAACTGCCCCACGGATGGCTTGCAAAAGCACTGACACACCACAAGACAACTAAGAGAAAGAAAATCCATGAAACCTGAGAAATATACAGCATTTCTAATGTTTCCAGATTTTCCTAGCTCTATAAAAAAGATAAAATCCCCCTGCCCAGTGGCGCCAAAACAAACTGGAGGCAGAATCATGTGGAGACTGGCACTGGGTGGCACGAAGAGTTAGCTGTTCAATGTGAGTTTAGTGCACTGAAGCAAAGAGCTTAGTCTACAGTGCTAATAACTCCAGCAATTTGGTCATGTGGACAGGAGAACAACTAATCTGGGCTGTGCTGATACTGCATAAACCCAGTCCATGGTATCAGCTGGGCAATAGGGTGAAAAGATGCTTGGGAAGAGCTTGGATCATGAAGACTAAACATAAATCACGCTGGGCTTAATAGCTTGGCTTTACCTGCTATTCCCGCAGTCCTGGAGCGAGCTTGGATATCCATATAGACATGTATATGTGTGTGTAGGTGTGCTGCGATGCTCAGCAAAAGAGATAGTCCGTGCCTCAGTTTCCCCCAAAATAGGGATAATCCAGTCCAGGCATTGTATGTGCTCCTTTGAGAAGCTGAAATGAAAACTCTTGTGCACGTGAGGCCTACGTATTATCTACGAGTGGTTGTTTTTATGTGAAGTCCACAACAGCTGCTGAAAGGAGGAAATGCAAGAGAATTCCCACCTTCTCAGCATGCAGTCCATGAACTATAAGGTGCAGACTCTTGTTTCTCCTGGGCAGATGACAAGACAGCATTTTTGCCAAAAGAGAGGCTAGTAAATGGTTTTATGTGCTAGCTATTAATCTTTAGAATTAGTTCCTCCAAATCCAGACTGCAAATACATGAAACAAACAAAAAAGTGAAATCAGGGAGATTTATCGAGAATAGTTGTTTTTACCTATTGCTTGGGATCAGCAAAATTTCAGCACAAATGTGTAAATTAAATGGGAATACTCTAATCAAAACACTTGTTTATTCTAGGCAAGCAGCCCTGTCATTTGTCACCTTACAACACAGAGTCAGGACACTGGTGGCAACTCCCAGTTGTGCCTGAATGATGTTTCATCAAGGTGCAGATATTAATAATCACAAAAAACAGGCGAGATATGTTCTTAAAAAGAATTGAAGATGCCCGTTGTGTGAGGCCAAGCTCTGAGCAATGACAAATAAAGCCACAAACCAAAGACTTAGAGCAGCAAATTGGATGTACTGAGCCCTCTGCTAGAGCTGCCTGGCTGTGCTTCAACCAAAGTGCAGGTGAGTTTGGGATTTAAACACCTTATCTCTAAATAATTCAGAAGTATTCACGTAACTACAGAGCTTTTGCAGCCTGAATCTCACTTGGTCTTTGGGTTCCTGTCATCATATTCCAGCACGTTTGAAGAAGGAATCCTTTGCCTGCCAGCCAACTGCTGCTATTGAGACTTAGGCATGGCTTAAAGTGATAGTATATGCATGCATACATTATATACATATATATATATGAATATATAGAGAGACATGCATATATGCACATGTAACATTTGCTCTGTTCTTTCTCCTTGACACCTGCTTTTGGCCACAGCCCCAGGCAGGGTGCTGGTGCTTTTAGTCTCATTTCATTCTGCCTGTTCATGCAGGTGCCCAACACCCCATGTCCAGTCTCCCCGTCCCCATCCCATTGTCAGGGCCAGGGTGACTCATGTCCCCTTCCTCCCTTTCCATTCGGTCACGTCCTTTCCAAGGCACCTTCCTTCCCTCTTCCCCACCCATGCTTACGGGTTTCGTTTTCCCTAATGGCCACATCTTCCCCTTCTTCAAAACCACTTGCAGAAAGTTCATGTCGACTTGGTTTAATTAAAGCCTGTTTATCATGTCTTTAGGTAGTTTCCTTCAAGCAGCCTTCAGATGAAGTTAGCACTTTGCCAAAACACGATCCAAACCCGCAGCTCCGGGCGCAGTGGGACGCGCACAAAGGGAGCCCCGAGGGGCTCGGGAAGTTCTGCTTCGCGGGAAGCTGCCAGCCCACCCCGCGGAGACCTTCGCTTCCCCCTGCGGCAGCTGTCATCCGATCCCACGCCTTGGCTTTCAGTGGGGCTCTCCGAGGATGCCAGATGTTGGGAACAAAGGTCTAAAAATAATCTCCCCAAATAATCTTTCCATCTAGCATTGGAGGAGAGCATGTGCTTTGTGTGGACATGTGAGCCGAGAACCTGATCTAACTTGGAGCGAGGAAGTTCAACGGCAGCTTCTGGCTTCTGCTCGGGGCTCCTTTATTTATTTATTTTTCTTTCTTCTTTTTTTTTTTTTTCCTTTCCCTTCCCAGAAGCTGCGCAGCGAAAAGTGGCTCTCCGGCGATCAGCCCTCGCTCTCCCTCCCTCTCCGTCTCCCTCCCTCCCTGCCAAGGCTCCAAGCTGCCTGGATCCTGGAAAACTCTACTCCTTCTCTCATCGCTTAGGGGAAAATGGATCCCAGGGCACTGTCAGAGATGCGTTTCTGCAAAAAGTTCATCGCCGCAGCCTTGTGCCTCTTGATTTTGCTCCCAGACTCGGGCTGTGCAAGGAACCTCTGGAAACGTGCTCTCCATCTGAAAATGACGGAAAAATATGATGTGAGTAGCCAGCAGCGGGGTGGTTTGGGGGAGCCGGGGGTGTTTGCTGTGGACTAGAGGGTTTTCTTTACATCTAGTGTATCATTTTTAGAATAAGAAGTGTTTAAATCTGCAGTCAGTCCCTTTGTAGTAGGATTACACTAAGTTTCCCAGACTAAACTTTTGCCACCTAGCTGCTGCACAGGGAAAACTGGAGCCGAAGGGAGGCTGCAGCCGGCGAGGAGTGCACTGGCTTTGCAACCCTCGCTGAAGGGAAGGGAAGGGAAGGAAAAGGAAAAGAAGGGAAAGGGAAAGGGAAAGGGAAGGGAAGGGGGAGGGAAGGGAAGGGAAGGGAAGGGAAGGGAAGGGAAGGGAAGGAAAGGAAAGGAAAGGAAAGGAAAGGAAAGGAAAGGAAAGGAAAGGAAAGGAAAGGAAAGGAAAGGAAAAAGATGGGAAAATAATTCACTAGTTTGACATTCAGGCCAATCAGTTTCATAGTGGGGATTCCTCTACCTGTTTTCTGCAGCCACCTATGAAGGCCACTTTTAGTTAAAACAGATGCTTTTTGGCCCTGACATCTAGAGGGACCTGTGTGAGAACTAATACATGTGGTTTGTGTGACTCAGAAGGACCTCATGGGTGTCTCACCTGTGCTCAGTGAGATGAAATACCCTGGTTTGTCTCCTTGCAGCTTGCAGCAAAGCTGTGCTCACATCTTCAAGGCACACAGTTAGTTTCCAGTCAGAAATGTGCTTCATTTCAGACCCCCTTCAGAGAGAGTATCTCCTGGTTTCTATTTTCACTGAGAAATGATGAAGTGCTAAACCACAGAGTGGAAAATGTGTTTATCAGTACGTATGTATGTCATTTTTCAGTGCAAAGCTCAAATTCAGTAGCAGTTATAAATTCAGTGACCCAGAAAGGCAGGACAGGAGTAGAACAGGTATTTACATGCTGATCTTCAGATACTGTGTTCTGTAAAGGCACAGAGCCCGCTCCCCTGAGGATATATCCTCTTCTTTCAATGTGCCGGTCTTCAAAGGAATGTTTTCTCTGGCAGCTCTGAATCCAGGTGCTACCGATCTGGCAAACTGGCCCAGAATTGCTCATATCGACAGCAGCAGTTTGTGTAGGGAGAACAGAATAAGCCTTTCTTTTTCCTCCTCCTTGGAAGCCCTGTCGGGAGGAAGCAGCCCGCTCTCCTTCACCTTCGCTGCAGAGCGGCTGTTTTGGCAAGTCCTCTTGTCCTCAGAAAGATGCTTTCGTTTGTCCCAAATGCTCTATGTTCCCTACAGAGGCAAACAGCTGGCTTGTGGGTCACTTGGATAGAGAGGGAACAGATGGAGATACTTGTGGTTCAGTGCAGGGAGGTGGACTGTGGACATCCCCATGGGCAAGGTCTCTGAGGAACCTGGGAGGAGGCAAGGGGAAGGACATGAACCAAGAATTACCTTGTCCAAGGACAAGAAGTGGGAATCTTCTTGCAATAGGAGGAAGCTGTCCACCAAACTGATAGCAGCAGAGTGACAAGGAGGAGCTTTGATGAGGAACTGGCTTTGAATTTGGTCAGTACTGCCTTTGATGAAGGCTCTTGGTTAGAGAGAAGAGGTCAAGGAGAAAGGGAGAACAGAGGGCAGGGAGTGGAATAAGAACAAAAAACTTGCAGTCCAGGTAGGATGGATCCAGCCGATAGCAAATACATGTGTTTTACTGTCAGAAGGACATTTATTGAGCTCAGTGACTTGCAGCTGGCACTCTGCAGCCCCCTGCACAGTCTGTGGACTGTTTCCAAAGGGCTAGGAAGGAAGCTATTCGAGAAAGGCAAGGGGAAAAGGCCGGAGATGTCTTGAATTCAGCCCATTTTCAGCTACATCAAGTCTTTTAGAAAAAAAAATATCATTCTTTTAAAGATTTCCAGAAGTGAAGAATTCCTCAGGGCTGCTGTAATGTTCTTGCAAGTTATTTATTCTCCAGATAGCTCTCATGCCTAAACATTTAGAGAGCTGGGATATTTCTGATGCAGAGGGCGTCTGCTGGCTGTGCAGGCTGAGAGTGAGGGATGGTGTTCGTGTTCGCCCTAGTCATCTGTGGGGGCTTCCAGGTGTCCTCAGCTCAGCTCGGAACTTTTTCCTTTATTTCTGGATATATTCAAGCCTGATATTATCATTAAAATGACTTAATAAGTCTCCACTTCCTGAATTAAAAAATATTTTCAAAAACAGAAAATTTAGGAAGTTGCCAGAATCTGTAAAAATGAGAAGTCCAAGTGGTTTCTTGGAATGAGTGGAGAAATCAAAGCCAAATTACAGATCTTAGGAGAACATTTAAAAAGACCAGGTAGCGCATAGCTGGAGCCTGCCTTGAACAGGCTGTTCTGTGAATGAGGGAATCCCTTTTCCCATTGGCATTTTAGCATGTATAAACCAATGGCAACTCTTATTATTTTTATTTTTTTTAAGATCAAATTTGCAAAAATATTTCCTTGCCCATGAGGTTTGGAAGAAAGGGAATCACAGAGAATGGGCAGGGAGGTTATGAGGTACAAAGTTATTTGACTGAAAATTGTACATTGTTCCCAGAAGGAAATCTCATTCATTGAGCCAACTATTCATTGTAATTTGGCCTTCTTGATGTGTGAATCATTTGTGAAACAACTGCATTAACTGTTTTTTGATGTAGCCATTATGTGTCCCTATGGTATTGGTTCCTACATTACAGTCTTCAGCTGAAATTTCAAATAACAGAAGAGTAAACTCCCCATGAACAAGGAGCCCTATTAAATATTTGGAAATATCGGCTGTTAAATACTGTCTTATATGACCAAATTATACTCAGTCCTAGTATTTTCTGGATTTAAAAACCACCAACAACAAATAAGTTGTATTTTAAATATGTTGAATTTAAAAGCGTGGTGGTTAAAGCTGGAGTGTTTTCAGCTTTCCGAAGACCACGGATCTGGGAAACTTTGCTGCTCTCTGTTTCCCCCTAGCTATTGCATAAAGCAATGAGGTTAGTTCAGCAAAGGAGCCATCCGTGTGATCATGTGCTGGCTACAATATACTGCAGAACCTGGAAGGAACTTTCTGAACCTCCATAGTGCAAATGCACATCATTATTTCTTCTGGAGGCCCTCGGAAAAAGGAAAGGAAGGGAAAGCAGTGTTTTGCACCCCAAACACATGTGTTTCAATAAAAGACAATTGCATAACTTAGAGAGGAAAAGGAGGAAAAATTGCAAAGAAAGAGGGACAGATAAAGGAAGGCAAAGTTTTGGCAAGCGGCCTTATTCTAGGTCTGAGTGACAGTCATAATTTCTAGCTTCTAGCTGCAACCCCCTGCAAACACTGCTCGGTGCATTCAGCATTCAGGATATTTCTGGAATCCCTCCTTGGGCCTCTGCTAGGACATTTACTTGAGCAGCACCTGTAGCAACACACAGTTTCACCAAGCGCTTCCTGGAGCTCTCCTGGTGCCTCCAGGGAGGTTGTAGCAGCACCTAGATTAAGAAGGGTATTAGTCTCACCCCAATCCTTTCTCCAGCATGTTGGGGAAATTTCCTAGAGAATCCCACAAGGAGAGTTGCACCACATCATCGCTTGCAATAACAACCTCACTGTCTGTCACTGATTTTGACACACAGCAGTGATGGGTCTGGGTACGTCCAGGGACTCAAACCAAGGGGCTAGAGAGGGCAGGGCAGGTTTTGATCCAGACCTTGGGCTAGATGCTCATCTCTGCTGAAAGCACAAATTCAAAATCCCTCCTTTGATTTGACTGGAGCTTAATAATGTGGGTTAATAAATCTGCACACTGAATTTTGCCCCTTCTGAGTTCTCTATGCTGCTGTACTGGATGGAGCTCAAGCCTGGAGGGGAATCCTTTGGCCACAGGTGAGAAAGGAATGGGCTTGGCTGATTCCCTGTGACAGATTTAGCTTCTTGCTAAAATGCCCTCTGTATGAATCATATTATCTAGATGCCACTTCTTATAAATGTTTCTAGTAAAATTCTGGGCCTGTTAATCCACTTTAGACCTCCTGTGTCATTTTGGTGTGCATTACACAGCTGGGCGCTTTCTGCTGTGGTTGGTCATGGTCTCATTTTCCTTATGACTAAACTGCCATCAGCCACCCAAAGCTCACCCAGATCGTATCACGATTTCAAAAAGATTTTTAATTTAACAGCCCAGGACCTCCTGTTGGAAAGCCTGGAAATGCTCTC